CACCCCACAGGACAGATCCTGGGCTCTGCAGACACGTCCTGCTCCAGGATCTCCCAAACCACACAGCATTCACCATGAATCACAAAACCACCGGGGGAGGATCACAAGTGCAGGAAACACAAATGTCACAGGTGCTCAACCTGAGCTGTGTGATTCCCTGCCAAGGAACGAGCACAACTGCAGCTCTTGCTGTCTTCAGGGGAGAGGAGAAAAAACACATTTCTGTGGGGCAGCTTCTCTCTTGCAAGCTCTGCACACAGACACACTGCCCTTACCCTTACTCCGTGCCATCCTGCACATGATTGCTCTGCAGTAGCCACACACACGCTTCTGTTCCCACATGATCTGCTGTGCTCCCACTTGTGCCACCACCGTGCATCCCTGCTTCAGAAAAGCTGGCACGTACCCTCCATCTGCCTGGTTCCTAACATCACTAGAAGCAGCCTTTTGCAAGCAAAGCCTCACAAAGAGCTCACAACTGCTGTTACGGCAGAGTTTAAGTTATCTGATGACCTCAGCAGGGGTAATGGGATGCCAATATAAAACACCTGATTACAATGTTGGACACAGAGGGTGAAATGCACTCTTCAGCAGCTCTCACCTGATTTTAATCCCCCAGCTTGCTCGCAGTGCAGCTGGAAGAGGCTCTCTGCTAACACATAGGACCACGGAGGATGAATGGGGAGCATTATGTACCCTGTAGGGAGGGTCTCCTCCCCAACCACTGCTTTTAGAGGCTGCGTCGTATGATGTGATGGGGTGGGAGGGCTCCCACCACACACCCTGCCATCTCCTCACCAGCTTTTCAGCGAGGATGTGGTGTGGTAGGACAAGCTGGGGAGCTGTCATTGCCGATCTCTCAAGGCAGCAAAGTAATCTGCATTGTAGCTTCAAGCAGAGGGTAAGGCAGAAAGAGATGTTTTTCTGCTCTTCAGAATGAGAAGAGGGGCACTATTTTGTTTCCTCAGGATGGGAACTCCTGAAAGGAAATTTGTGTTTTGTCCTTGTACCCTGGGAAGCTCAGTTACACTTAACGCTTCATGTTAATACAGGAAGGGGCAGTTTTTCACATATGTCTATTGATCTGAGCAATTCCCTCTTCTATTAGGCTTAAAGAGCTTTACTTCCTAACAGTGCAGAAACCTGTGGGTACCCAATCTCTTACAGCATAAACCCAGTACATGAACCCAGCCCAAACTGGCACCGCAGATGGAGGGTTTCAGATTTAATCTATCAAAGCTCTGCTTGCTGCTGCCCCACTCTCACAGTCTCAGTCCCTAAAACCTGCGTGCACGTTGTGTCTCCACCACCCTGGGCAGTTCCTCACACCTCGCCTGCTGCCACCCCAATGCTGTGCATTCACCCCTCAGCTCCAGGGCTCTAAAATCACCTTACTGTCACCTGGACATTTCTTCTGAGGGCTACACAGGAGGGGAGCCTGCTGTGATGATCGCAACTTCTTCCCCTGCTGATACAAGCCATAAAGAATCACTGCTTGCTCCACCTAACTCGACTGGGAAGGAGCAGAGAAGTGTTCCTAGTGAAAGATTCCTCCTCCTCCTCCCCTATCCCACTGTGGGCTGAGCTGGGAGAGTGGGTTCCCAGAGTAGAGCAGGCGATGCTGTGCACTCTCGCCCTGCTCTACCATGGGCTCACCCGAGAGCATCGGAGATGCCGAGCTGTGAAACGAGATACCTATCTCTGAGCACCGAGGGGGAAGCAGCAAAGATTAATAAGCCTCAAAATGTTATACAGCATTTAAATGGTACTGTCACAGATCAAAGACTATCTCTCATCTCGGAGAGGCAGGCTCAGTAAGCCTCGAAAGATCACGTACAGAAAGCAAATGCAAGATGCAAGAGAAAGCCTGCAGACGGGAGCCGAGGAAAGCTCATACTTGTCCAGAGAAACCGAAGTGGCCTAAGCCAGAGTCTAACATGTGTTCCTGGAGGAACGAGAGCCAGAAAGACTGCCTGGTTTCACTCAGTCTCAGTTGTGTCTTAGCGCAAAAAAACACATTTCATTTTAAGACACCCTCTTACCTTGGAGGTACCTGCTGCTGGGAGCAGCTTAAATCCCAGTGCAAAACTGCAACCCTGCCAAGATTGCTGAGATAAGGAGCACACTGGGAACCATGTGCAACTGGTGAATGGATTTGAAAAAGCCCCCGATTTACACTGATGCCACAGGGACTGCAGAATCACACTCCCTGAACTGAGAGCTTTCATTCTTAAAGCCATGAGGGTACTGCATGAAAGTTTGATGGCAATATCGCTTGCCCACACTGTCAGACAGCGTAGGAGGCCTGATCCGTAGTCTTCCAAGTTGCTCACAGAAGTATGTCATCTGGGAGGAGGAGGAATACAAGGGGACTTTTTGTCCAAATCGCTACAGTGGTAGTAGCACAGGAATAAAGATGCCTCACGGTGGTACTCCTCCTCCCAACCTCTCCCAGAGCAGCGATCCCATCGTAAAGTACATTTATTCTCACGTGACTTTGGGCAAGATACTCCATTTACATTTCTTTGGTATAATTAAAGTGCTGCAGGAACTAGCAGTAGTAGAAGCCCCCCTCAGAGGCGTGGGGTTGAATATTCCTCCTGTCCAGGCTGGGCACTGAGTACTGAGGGTCACCCAGAGTCCATTGCACTGCACGAGGCCAAGTGACTCCTGGACCCAGACCCAGGGAGGAAACCCTGTTCTCAGGAATCCCCTTAATGCTCCATCCCTGCAGACTCAGTCCTTCACTATCCCTCCTCAAACCAGGTCTGGATCCTTGCTCCTAAACCTCGCCCCAGGTACCTTGCTGCTGATCTGGGGACTCCCTGTAGCACTGTACAAACCCACTGTGCAGAACAAAAAGAAGTCCTCAAGCAAACTTTGGCTGATTGAATTTTGAAGGTAAGGAATGCCCTTCTGCAACAGATGTACAACCCCCTCTGCCCACCCCAAACACCAGATCCATCACGGAGAAGGGAAATATTTACACAAGTTAGTAGAGTTCCAGTTAAATATTATGCTTAGCTGTCTAGAGTCCATGTTCTCAGACTATGCCTATGAAATAAAAGATTAAACTTCATAACAATTATGAAGTTGCTCTGCTCACATTCAAAGGGAGTTAAAGGACATTAAAATAGTTCTTTAGGTAATATTCCAGTGAAATCGCTCTCTCCCCCCTGCAGACTTAGAGCTAAAACCTTCTGAACTATCCTGTAAACACACTTGGAAAGGCTAAGAGCTGAGCTGATAACCAGGTAGCACCTCTGCTCTGCAGGTTCTGTAAAAAATGTGAGCAATGCCGGAGAGCTTTTGAAGCAGAGAGGGAAGGAGCATAGGAGAGAGCAGCTTCTCTTCTCGAGGGAAGTTTGTTTAGTGGAAAGTAAGCAAGTTGTCAGGGGAAAAGCTGACAATGTTGATTCCAGCAGTTGTACTGGGAATAAACAGCCAAGTGGATTACGTTACAGAGAATGAGAAACGGCTCTGAGGATCCCATTTAAATGCTGGGCTTTCAGGAACGATGCGATGCAGCCACGCTCATGGCCCCAATGCCCGCAGCCCCCCAGGGCTGAGCCCTCTGCCAGCCCTGGTATCACCATCCCACCTCTGTGGGGTCCCTGGGAGGTCCAGCACAGCCCATGTCCCCAGGAGAGCCAGAGCTCACCGCCACTCTGCTGTCCCTGCAATG